AATCTTTTTTCCCCCTCTTTCTTCTATTGCTGGAAAACCTAGAGTATTTCCCCTAGGAAACTAATAAAAATGAATTTGTATATTATTCTATTTTTTTCCTAGCCAATTTCACAATAATCATCCATTTTTCTCAACCCAATCATTTTTTGGGTTTTTTTTCATTTGCTCATGAAGATGAGCGGGAACAGCTTCTTAGGCTCATTGGTTCTCTATGACACTTCCCAGGAACAGAGTGAGGTCCATCTAGCACTCTGAAATCTCCGAAATTATAAGGATGGATTCCTACTGTTGTGTTAGCAGGTCCTGGAGGACATTCTTTTGAGGAAGTCATAATTTTTTTCCCATTATGTATGGTAATTAGAAAAAAATGTATAAGTAATACACACAGGGAAATGTTAGAAAAAAAATCTGGCAAGCAAAGCCACTCCACACATGACATACCATATTGATGTAATTCTTCTACAAAAAATAAGTGAATATATATATATGTGTATATATATATATACACACACACACACACACACACATATACATATATTGTCATGGGACGTGGAGTATAGTGTGGGAGTGGAGTCAAGGGATTTGTAATAGATATGTATGATATTGGGGGGAAATAGGGTGGCAGATTGGGGGGTTGTCACTTTGAGGGGTAAAAAGTATAACTATTGCACTGTGCTGTACAGCTGAAACTAATTCTTAAAAATGTGTATTTCATAAAAAATAATTTCATAAAAAAATATTTTAAAAAAAGCTACTTGCCTTTCTTTTCTATTTTGTGGGGGTAGAGGGTTAAATTTAATATCGTTGTGATTATTCTGGGTATTATTTGATATTCTGTATTGCTTATAATAACATAATGGATTCTGTTATTATATGTTATTTGTATACATTTTTAACACCCACATAATATTTTATTGTATAAATGAATCACAATTAAATTAACGTTATTCATTTTTAGACTCTTAGGTTGTTTCAAATTTTTTAGTATAAATTATATTGCAAAGAATATATCTTCTCTTGCAGATCTGAGTTTTACCTTTTGTTTTTGTCTTATTATTTTTCTTATATTTTTCTATTTTTTTTTCATTAGGACCATTTTCTAGAAGTAGAATTATTAGCTCACTAGACCTGATCATTTCCATAGCTCTTGATAAATATTTCTAAATATCTTTCCACAGAAAGCTTGTGTAAATTTATCCTCCCATAAGCTTTATGTAAGTCCTTTTTCCCTTTTACAGGGCACTGCCATTTAAAATAAAAAAATTATATCTTGTTAATTTGATAGGAGGAAATAAAACGGAACCTTATTTTTAATTTGTATTTTTTGTTTGTAAATTGAATTTTTGCATATGATGCATATTAACCTGTTGCATTTTCCTCCTTTATGAATTTACTGATAACTATCTTTTGCCTATTTACTCATAGGAGGTCTAATTTTTACAACAATTGTACATTTTACATATAAAATATCCACTCTTCCTGCAATAAATTATTCTGTGACTACTTTACCCAGTTTATTTTCTACTCTTTTAGACTTATGTGCTTTTATCTTTATGGTTATATCTTTGTGACTTCTTTCACTGCTTGAAAGCTAAAAAGAAAGTCTCCTCCAGAGAGCTGATACATATTAATTTCTATTTTCTCTATTTTTCTAGTTTTTCTAATACTTGGTTATTTATTTTTAAATTTCTCACTTCCCAACAAATAAAAATTTGACAACAAAAAAAAAAGAAAGAAAGAAAAAGACCTAAAATTGTTATAGAAGGAAAGGTCGGCTCCTGGCTAGGAGATGTAGGCATCAGTGTCTGAGGTGTTCGTAGGTGTTTGGTAGCCACTGAACTGTTAAACCCGGATATTTTAAACATCAATCTACAAACTGCTACAAACTACTCCCACTTTCATTACTCGAAGCGCTATGCCGTGCACTGTGGGAAGGAGCAGGGAAGAAAAACTTGACCTCGTGTCACCGACCCCACATCCTGCACGCAATGCCTTGCCTGCACGGTAAGGGCAAAAACGGCACCACAGTCCTTACTCTGCACAGTGGAGGAGCCGGCCGCAAAACACCATGTAACAGGTCTGTTACAAGCATCTAACGTAAGAAAGGCTCTAAGTCCGGGCTTTTATGTTTTAAGAAGACAAGTTTACTCTGTACCACGTTACATAATACAGCCAAATCGATTTTGCTTTATCATGTTGTTCTCTAATTGGACCAGCCATAATTAGCCCAATAATCCATCTTCCGAATGGTCGGTCTGAATAACAGTGGAATCACTCATGGGTGATGGAGGTGATTTGTTTAGAATTCACTGAACAGGCTTTCACTGGGCACCTCCTTTGTGTCAGGCCCTTTTCTAGGGATTAAGGATCCAAAATACAAGTAGCACATGGACCCTGCTCCCTAAGACAGTGGTTCTTGCAGCTGGGGGATGGCTTTTTAAAGTGTATTCCCAGGCTCCACCTCAGGTTCTCTAAATCAGGGGTTGGCAAACTGCGGCTCGCCAGCCACGTGTGGCTCTTCAGGTACGTTCCGTCTCAAAAGTGTGCCGACCCCTGGAAGAGCCAATCCTGTCCCTCACAACAATTTAGAAACTATTCGAGAGCCATACATATATTTTTACATAATCACCGTTATGTGAATAATACCCTTTAAAAATTTAAAAATTTTATAAATGAAACTATGATAGTTGTATTTTCATTTTCAATTTTATGCAGCTTGCGAGCTACAGTTCGCAAGCCACAGTTTGCTGACCTCTGGCGGCTCTTCCGTCTCAAAGGTTTGCCGTCCCCTGCCCTAAATCAAGGTTGAGCCCAATATTATTGTGTTTTGAATTTCCCATGATGATTTTGATAATTCACCAGAATGAAGAAGCAATCAAGAGCCCATAGGTCAGAAGGTGTTTATTTCCTTCAGATCTTAAAGGGTAATAGGAAAAGAAAAACTTCCATTTATCGGGGCATTGATCTAATGCTAAGAGCTTTACATACGGAATCTCACAATCCTCATAACATAGCTGACAATCAGTGTTGTCCCATCTTATGGATGAAAACACTGAACTAAGCTGAGGAAAGATCCAGGAATTTATTTGCCCAAGGTAACACACCTGCAGCCAGTGGGCCTGTGATTCTAATTCAGAGCTCTCTGACATCAAAGCCCACAGGAAACAAAAAACATCTGGAGTCGCTGGGTTGGGCAATCTCAAGAATTAAATCAGAAAGCTTAAGGATCTGGGTCAAGGTTTGTAACCGCAGAACCACGTCAAAAATGGCCTTATGCTGTTTCTAACAAGACACTGCGTGTTTCTCAGAGAAAACAAAACAAAACCACAAGTCAGGCGGCCGAAGCATGTGCAGAGGGGAGAATTCTGACCTCCAGTAACACCCAGAACAGAAGTTCTACCTCTCACAGAACCAAAAGACCAGGATAGGGAGCGAAGGGTCCGCTGTCCAGGAAGATCCGGTGCTGAAGCCCCTTCCCACATCTTACCATAAATGGCCAAGTTCCAAAACCCCCATCGAAACCTTCCCTGTCAGCTCTTCCCACACCAACACGCTCGCTTTAACCCCATAAACCTCACTCCGCTTGGACCCTGCGTCTGGGAGACAGATTTGTGCTCTGCCTCCTGTCTCCTTGCCAGTTAAACTCTCAATACAGCTTTTTCTTTTCTCAAAAGCCAGTGCCGCCGTAGTATTGGCTTCATGCGCACTGGGCAGAGGGTGTGCATTTCAAAACCAACCGACAGGTCAGAGTGTGGTAACTGTGAGACGCTGGTGAGTCTGCATCGCCAGACTCTTTAGCTGAGGTTTCCAGCTTTGTGTGTTGCAGCTTTCCGTGCTCATAATGTCTCTCTAGGCTGAGATTCATCTTATCTCCCAAAATACATTAGAAACCAGGAGTGATATCTGCTTGCTGGATTGGTCTTACCATTGGCAACTTCGGGACATTTGCAGGGAGCAAAGAAAAACCAACCATTTTTATCCGTGCCTATCTCCCAGAGAAAAGAATACCTCCTTCGCTCCGACAACACGTAAACACATCTAGTCATGTAACCACATCTCAATGTCAGCAGCATGGAGCCCCGTGGCTTATGCCCGCTGAAGAGATCCATCGCCCTCTGTTAAAAAAATAAAGGACGTGGAGCCACAGGTCCTCCCAACAGGCACTCCATGTCTTTTTACCGTGTTTCCCTGAAAATAAGACCTAACTGGAAAATAGGCCCTAGCATGATTTTTAAGGATGCTTGTTATATAAGCCCTACCCCAAACATAAGCCCCAGTTAAGATTGTCAGCCAGACATTACTGTTTAAATAAATGTAGATTTTTGTACATGAATAAATGAATAAATGTAGATTGTTGGAGTAAAAATTAATACAAGACCTGGTCTTATTTTCAGGGAAACATGGTAACTTTGCATAAAAAGCATCTCCCAACCAGACTTATCCTTCACATGTATATCATGTTTTTCTTGCAAACTGGCTAGAAAGTCAGAATATGCAGGGGACAGAGAAGCCCAGTATTGATGAATCCACTGCATATTACATATGAAAAACTGGAGTGCTGAGAGCTTAAGCTTTCAGGAAGAGGAGATCGGTACCATTACAATCACCGCAAAATTTTACTGAGCAATGGTTATGTGTAAGACGCTTGGCTAGCTGCGGTGGGAAATACCGAAAACAAACACCATCTCTGATCTCTGAGAAGTGACACCAACGTTGGAAAAAAACGACATCTTTGTTTTATAAAAACGGATTCAAAGAAATAGAAAAATAAGAATCACAACATGAATGATAGCACAAAGAAGGAAAACCAGTCACTTCAATAAATGCAGAAAAAAGACCTGCTGACATTAAGACTCTCATGTATTACTGAAAAATGCACATCTAAATTTCTTAGCAAATTAGACTTGGAATGAAACGTTCTTAAATTTACAAAAGAACCTGCATCAAAAAGAGCAAAAGGTAACTAACGGCATGTTAAACAATGAAAATGCACAACCTACCAGAATGAGGCAAGGCTATCTCTTTTCACCATCAGTATTCAGTGATGCGCTGGAGTTCCTAGACAACGACAAAAAAAAAAAAGGTAAATATTGAGAGGGAAAAAGAGAAAACACTGTTATTATTTGCAGGCAATAAAATTATACACATAAAAAAAATTCCAAGAAAATTCACAGAAAAAATATTAGCGATACTTCTAAAAAATTACAAAATAGAACATCAATGCAGGAATATCAGTAATGTTGAATATGCCCAATTCTCAATGAGCTATTAGAAAAGAAAAAATGGCCCATTTTCAATAGAATAAAAATTACACAAAACCTTAGATTAAGCCTACTAAAGATGTACAAGGGATTTTCAGTTAAACTTCATTGAACACATATTTGTCTCTGCTTCTTTTATAAAATCTCAATAAAGTTCCCAAAAAGAACTGTAAGAGAATTAAATCCATGAGAAAATGGTAGAGGGGGTAATTTTTGAAGAAGCCGTTTCAATGACTAAATGACAAACATTCAACGCTGAGCCAGCTTCTCAAAGCTGAATAATATTCCGCATCCTTTGTTTTCAAAAAAACTCAAAAGATTTCTCAGCACTGACATAAAATGTTCTGTTATGCTGTAATATGTTACTTAAATATTAATATGTGCAAACCTAAATTATGTACAAGCACCTGATGTTTACCGAACCTCCAAAATTATAAAACCTAATCAAATTCAGCAATTAAATCCAAACAACACTACAAAAAACAATAACACTGACATCAACAATACTGATTTAGTGAGATGGATGGGGTTACTTTATTGAAACTACATTTCTATCTTCAATGTAAACATAGTGCCGAGATCCACCATGAAAGCTGTTTTGAACCTTCCTGCCATGTCTTTGGGCCATATCACCTCTCATGTTCCCCTAATTTTTTCTATAGGAAAGCCATCCTCATAGCATCCCCTAAATCCTTTGGCTTTCCTTTGTCATGAGCCTGGTAGGTATAAGTTTAGTTAATCTCTGCTCTAGTATTCTTAGGGGGTTCCTGGTGCCAATGTGATCACAAACCTACATGCAAACTTGCTTGGACAATGAAATGATGAGTTAGTTACTATAATTGCTGGTCATCTAGATAACAGCACGTTTTAATCAGATTTTTAGATAATCTTCAAAGATGCCTACAGTATTTGACAAAGAAGCCAGAAGACCCAAAATAGGATCACCAACGGGATGTTAGTGACATAAGATCATTTCTTTTCTCTCTCATGTTCCCTTCGCCCAAGCTCAGATCACAGGAGCTGGAACCAGAAGAGGAAATAATGGAGAAAATGTCCCACATGCGGCTCATGACCTCTCTTTTGGGCCACAAATCTCTTGGGCTGAAGTCTGGCAGAGATCAGAGAAAGGGGTGAAGATAAACATTTAACGAACGTATGAGGCTGAGGTTTAGAACTAGATGACATTTGATGAGACTGGACTTTTTAATGATGGCAAGTGATAGATGCCTATGGGATCTGTCATCATTACGAGCTGGGAAGGGCAGACTCAACATGACGACTGCGAGTAGGAAAAAAAAGAACCACCTCATATTATCTCACCACATTCAGACTTCAGAGAGTTGCTAATTCAAGAAAAAAAAAACAGGAAAACTATTAAATTATATCCCACTGAGTTGTGTGGCTCAATGAATTTGGGCATTAACAGGGCAGGGCTGGGATCGCGTCTCCATCCTTGTTAGGTGGGTACCTCAGGACGAACTGTATTTATTTTCTGTATATTAATTTCTCATCTGTAAAACTGGGATAATATTAACGACCTCGCTGAACCATTCATGGGGTTATATGAAAATATAATTGATGAGGAATCTGGCAAATACGTTTGTTCTTTCTCTCGGTATCCTATTTTTTCCCTTTAATACATATACATATAGTATTTTTAAATATAACACATGCTATAATCGGTTGACATATAATTTTGTGTTTTGCTAATCTGCTTCATGGTTTAGAGCTGTTCCTATATTGAAACCACCACATATCACCATTTTAAGACGTTTAAAGGAGCCATCAATTGTGACAGTTTACTTAGCTGGTTCCCTTTTGTGGGCAATTTGGGTTGATTCCAAACTTCTTCCTCCCAATATAAACCGTGATGTCGCTAATGTTAAAAAAAAAATCCCTTTAACACTTTCCCCATCCCTAAGGACAAGAAGGCTTAGACAAGCATTATTACCTTGGCATTATCATTTTTCAAATGGAATTATTTATTCTCTCCACTAATATTTTTATTGGAATAGCTTTAAAGCGCCAGTATTTCTAGAATACCTGGACTTGTAATTGGGGGGGGGGGGCGCGGGGAAGCTTCCTCCTGACTTATGTGTCTTAAATTCTCCTCTGGAGACCACTGACTTATTTTAACCTGGATAAGGGGAAACACCCCATGAGTCCACACTGGGATTTCCCAAGACCCTCCCCAATTTAGACTGAATGAAAGAGCTTGTAAAAATGTCATGCTGGAGTCTAACAGAATACACTGATTTAATACCATTAGCCCCCCTTTTTTAACCTACATTTCAGCTTTCTCCTCCCCAACAGGCTAGAATGAAGCTTCTCAATCTTTCCCAAGACAGAAACCTCTTCCTCCTACCTGCCGTCTGCTGTAATGCTGTCTTTTGCCCCAAGTCCCAGTTGCTCAGGTTCTAATTATTATCACTTGTGCCCAATCTGGTAGCTGGCAGTTTCTGAAGAAATCACACACTGCCATGCTCGCTACAAAAGCATGTCAGGGGAATGCACTTTTCCCACGTGCACACGCGTGTGGCCTTCTAGATCCCCAAGAACATGCCGGGGAGGTTCCAAGCCTCTGTGGACATCTCACTCCCCAGCCTTTCCTGTTTAGCTTTTTATTAACCTACTGCTTGCCCCAGTCTTTACCCATTGCCTCAGGTAACCACGATGGTAAATGTTCCACTCTGATTATTTTTGATGAATGTCCCGGGAAAATGGGGCTGGTTTGCGCTGAGCAAGTTCTGAGTCAGGCCAAGTAAAGCAGCGCTGTGAGTGGGGGGTCTTCCTGAGAAGTGGGCAAACGAGTTAAATAATGACAGTCCTAGTGAACTGGCTTTAAAGGAGCTCCAACCCTGTTTTGTCCCCTCCAGTGGCTGCCAAGCTCCAGGTGTGCGCTGTTATTGCAGCCTTTTGATTGTCAAGGCCACGCTGGAGATGGCAACGGGGCAAAGGGAACTGAAAAATGTGTTCCTCTTGTGGACACTTAGCCACTTTTCTTTTTTTTTAAGATTTTTATTGGGGAATTGGGGGGTGGGAACAGTGCTGGGGAATCGGGGGAAGGGGAACAGACAAGTTGCTGTCCTTTTGTTCTTCAGTCTAGTTGTGGAAGACTTTGCTTCACTGGCCCAACTTGGCACCATCATTGCGCTCTTCCCGGGGGAGGCAGATCAGTCGCCGGCTTCTAGACAGCCGCTCACGCTGGCTGCTGGCTACACACGGTAGCCCATGGCAACCCACTGCAGCAGGGGCTACAGCCTACGCCACTGCCGGCGACTCACAGCAGCCCAGCTCCAGGTTGAGCTGTTGTTCAGCATCTTAGCTGTGGAGGGCAGTGTCACTGGCCCTCATATGTGGGATCCAAACCGGGGCCCTCTGGCGTCCCAAGCCAGTTCTTAACCATCGCGCCACTTGGCCGGCCCCTTAGCCACTTTTCTTGAAGGAAGATGCCCCGACTGCTCCAAGACTTTGGTTCCTTTTTGAAGTTCTGAAAAGTTTGATTCTGACAATCTTTGCCGGTGTTCTCACTGCTTTAAGAAAGAAGAGGGTTGGGGCTGCTAATGTTACTCCCTCTAGGAGCTTCTTAAATTTGTACTCAACTGACCGTTTTGTCCCTCTCCAAACCATCCTGCACACGGATGGCCCATTTTAAAAACCTTTGATGGTGGGGCAGCCGGTTAACTCGGTTAGAGCGCAGGCTCATAACACCAAGGCTGCCGGTTTGATCCCCACATGGGACACTGAGCTGCGCCCTCCACAACTAGATTGAATATAACTACTTGACTTGGAGATGATGGGTCCTGGAAAAACACACTGTTCCCCAATAAAATTAAAAAAAACAAAAACAAAAACAAAATACCTTGGGTGGACTACACAGCCCGTCTTTACTTGGTGTACACAACAATCTGACACCATGCTGCACACCCCTCTTTGCAACTCTGGCTGCCACCGTTTCCCTCACATTGTCCCCAATCTCTCACCTAATTGACTAGCCATTCTGGAGCCTGTCACCTTCATGGCTTCCTCACAATTTTCCTCTTTGGGGGACAATGCTGGCTGCTGAATGGGACCTTTCTCAAAGGACCAGCAGCTCACATGTGGTGTGTGTGCGCGCGTGTGTGTAAAGGCTGGCTGGATAATAGGCCAAAGTCTGAGAGGTGGGGGGAAACACACACTCCTGCACTGTCTGTGAGGTCAGCTGTCTTTTCTAATTTATTCCTGCTGAGTCTATGAAGTGGGGCTCTGCTGACTCACCACCATTTGCGAGATTGTGTGTGATGAACACCAGCAGGACACTTTCTGCTTGGAATTCGTCAAATGTATGTGTCTCTAGGAAAAGCCCAGTATAAAATTCCAGCACCGTTTCATAAAACTTGCATGAAAATGCGAAGTCAATATAGTCCATCTCCAACCACTTTTTTTGGTAGCATTGTCCTTAGCTTTCGGGTTGTCTGAAGCTAGCATGCCATTTGGTGTTTGACCTTTAAAAGTTTACAGCCATACCAGACTAACAGACGTAAAAGAAATGTAACTAAATATCAGGAAAGAAATAGGAAGCATGCACTATGTTAGCGTTTTATTACAGCCAGAGGGGGGCGAGGTCAGGGAAGTCTCCTGGGGATGCAGGATTTCAGCATTTAGGGAGAAAAAACGGGGGCAAGGATTTTCAGGATAAGCTGCAGGGAGGGAGGCCTCACACGTCAGTGTTCAATCCAAGAATCTTATTACAGGTGCAGGTTCTGAGCTGGACTTCTAGTGAGTCTCAGTCACTAAAGCACAGGCAGGGCCCAGGAA